AACAGAAATGGAAACTCTTTTTCAAAAAGAAAGAAACCAAATAGCACTGCTGGAAGATTAATAAATCAGGATGAAGAGGTTTTCTTGAAGGAGAAGGCAAGAGAGGGGAAGGGACATGACTTGGAAGCAGAATTGTTACCAAGCAGTGAAAAGGGTAAGGTTCTTGTGTGTTTGTTTTTTTAAAATGTGCATGGCTGTTACTGTGCTGTCAGATCCCAGTTCTGCAAATTCAAGACAAACTGGAGGATAGGGAGCACAGACATAAGCCATGTGTCCCAAATCCCAGTCTCTAGTGGTCAGCTGTCATCTTAGTATCCCCAAAACTTCTATCCGTAGAACAGTCTGTTATATCAGTTATATTTTATTTTCATTGGCATGAGTTGGGGAAAGCTTATCCTGACACACATACATTCGGCGTGGATGCATTAACCATCCAACAGATCGCTGCTCCCAGTTTGGCTTCATGATGGGTTGGCTTTCTATAGATGTTTCCACATCTCCTACAAATCTCTCTCAATTCTAGTATGATCTTGCCTTAGTCTCTTCCTGTTGGAATTATGCATCTAAAACTAAGCTGATGGCTTCTTCATAAAATACTTGAAGTAATCATTTCCTGTAGCAAGGAGGGGCCCTAAACACTGGTTCCTATAAAGTTGTCACCTTTCAGAAAAGTCTGGCTATCCAAAGAAATTTGTTCAGCAGAAGGCAGAGTATTTGGGTCGTGGTTTTACCTGACAATGCTAAATTGCCTAGCAAATCTACAAACTTAAAAGGCCAAAATCCTTAGTAGCATCTAGCATCTATGCATGAAATGTGATGGTGCATCAACACATAAATAAGTCCCATTGATTCAAGAGGTCTGTACTAATTGTGACTAATAATTGGATTTAGGCATAGTATCCCTTCTGTTATTCCCATCCCAAACTTACACTGCTGAATCACTGAACGGGAAGGGATCTTGAGTTCCTCCAACTCAAGCCTTCCTCTCCAATTTCATTATAGAACTTAATGATGCAGATCCTCTTTTCAGTATTCTCAGATATTAAGGATAACATCACTTGTGCCCATATAAACATCTTTCTACTCTACCAGAAAAGATAACAGCTTTGCAGAGAACAAAGGACATACTATTATACTATCCAGGCCTGTCCTAACCGTTATCTGGTGTAAGACAGTACCTCCACAGTTGGCAGAGTGCTCAGGCTGTGATATCAGAGCTGCCGCCACCTACCCACCTACCCCTGCACGCCTCCTTCTTTAAATCTCCACCTTCATAGCATGGCTGCTTCTTAGTCAGCTGTGTGAATAATGCCTGGCTCTGAGGGGCCTCAGGGTCAAGGTGCTATGGGAGAGGTTTGTGCAGAGTTTAGCTACACAAGTCATTTAGCTGCACAGCAAAAGTGCAGGGATTCATAGGGCAGAATAGCTTCAAGATCCCCAGAGACCATCCCTTTCTCATTAACTGGCTCTTACAGTCTCAACAAATCACTCTGAGACATTAGTACATTTCTTTACTTACTGTACAGTTGTAAACAGATCAACAGCAAACTAACAAAACAACAGACTGCTTCAAAAGACTCAAGAGAGGGAAAGGAGACACAGAGCAGAGAGGTGGGTCTCTCAGAGGCAGGAGAAAACAATTAACTTATTGTTGACAGTCACTCCAGTCCAGAAAGGTCCTTCACAGCCACATCTACTAGAGATAGCATGCAATGTAGGAAAACAAAAGAACCCCCCCAACCCCCCCCCCCATCCAACAGGGCTGTTTCCTCCAAAACACCTGTGCCCTTTGGAGCCAAGGATTATCCACATACCTATCTGAGTGGCAAGAGGGATGTGGTGCCACTGTGGGTTAAACCACAGAAGCCTCTCTGCTGAAAGGTTGGAAGGCCAGCAGTCATAAGATCAAATCCATGTGACGGAGGGAGCTCCCGTCGCTTGTCCCAGCTCCTGCCAATCTAGCAGTTCGAAAGGATGTAAAAATGCAAGTAGATAAATAGGTACCACCTCGGTGGGAAGGTAATGGTGTTCCGTGTCCAGTCGCGCTGGCCACGTGGCCACAGAAACTATCTACAGACAAACGCTGGCTCTGTGGCTTGGAGACAGGGATGAGCACCGCCCCCTAGAGTTGGACACAACTGGACTAAATGTCAAGGGGAACCTTTACCTTATCTGAGTGGCAACTGTGCTAGAAACAGGGGAGTGGCAAGGAGCTACTATTACCACTACTACCTTTTCCTGCCCTCCTTTTCCTCTCCCATGAGGGTTGCCACACAACAACAGCAAGGAAGCACTGGCAGTACTCCTCTTCCTGGCTCAGGTGGTGGGTGAGCTTGTGCCAGTCCTGATGGTGTGGAAGTTGTTCCTCTGGTTTTCAAACTAGCAGCATCAAAAAGAAGCATCATTATTTCTGCTTCAGTCAGCTAAAACACTGGTTCTTAACCTTGGGTTACTCAGGAGTTTTGGACTGCAACTCCCAGAAGCCTTCACCACCAACTGTGCTGGCTGGGGTTTCTGGGAGTTGCAGTGCAAAAACATCCAAGTAACAAAGGATAAGAACCACTGAGCTAAAAAGCTCATTTAATATCGGATCTTTTCTTCTGGGCTGGGCGCAGGAAAGCTGCACATAGTTGCTAATACAGCCTGTTTATTTTTAAATTATTCCCAAGCTGGGGAAGTAGGAGAAAGCCAAAGGCTGACAGACAGACGCTTGGACCCCTGTTAATTTGTTCCCAGAAGACTCGGATAAATTTCTTCCATCAGTCCATGTTGAATAGTTGAAGCTCTTTAACCCAAAGGACTGGTGAAATGGAAATGCTACTGGACAAAATCCCTCAAACAATTCCACAGCTTTATGAACTTTGAAGTCTGAAGTGAGCAGAGTACTGTATTAACTCCAAATTCAAACTCAAGGTGACATTAACAAAATTTAAACTCAAACTGACATTAACTTAGCTTATTAAGCTGAGTGCAGCCAGAAAGGTCATTTGAGTTTGCTCCTTTGGCAATATTTTTAGCAGCACCTAATGAAGGCCATTTCCTTTATGGTATCGCAAAGCATGCCCTCCTTGCATCTTCCGGGACAACGTTTTATGCATGACTGACAGTTACTAAGACAGTTTGCCTAGAAGAGATAATGAATGCCCCTGTACTCATGGCCAGAATTTATCTAATTATGCCTATGAAGCAGCCTTATTAATCTCTCTCTCTCTCTCTCTCTTACTGCCCCCTCTCTAGCATGTGGGGAGGAGGGAGATCAGAAAAAATGTCATTTGGGCCACATTGGCTGGATGATTCTGGAAACTACAGTCTAAAGAGGTAAATATCCAGATCTGTATTGGTGTCTCTTCTTGTTTTGTGCTGTCAAGCCGGAACCGATTTATAGCAACCTTAATAGGGCTTTCAAGGTAAGGGAGATATCTAAGGAGTGGTTTTACCCGTTCCATCCCCTCCCCTGTGAGTTTCCACAGCCAAGTGAGGATTCAGACCTTGTTTTCCAGAGCCCTGGCCCTTAACACCACTACAACACACTGGGAATCTCTGTCTGGTTACTAGTAAAAGCTACCAAAATTGGGTTTTTGGTTCTCATACCTTTTGAAGCAAATTGTAATTAATAATTGCCACACAGAGTCATCTTCCCTGGTTTTTAGCTTGTTAGACAAACACAGTTACTTAAAAAAAATAAATAGAACTTTATGTCGAGAGTATATCTTCTATACTTTGAACGTGTGTACATAAACATGGACTAGCAGAAACTTTTAAAGCTAATTCAAGAAAGACTGTGGCTCCCTGGAGAGAACTGGTGGAAACTTAACAGAAGTCAGTGCTCTTCCTTTAACTCCGGATGCAAAACCTAAACCAGGCCAAACATCATTTAGAAAAATACTCTATATTTACATATGTAACTTAAACAGCTTATCTTCAGCATAACAGCTTAACATAACAGCATAATATGATAATGTAACAGCATATCCATATACAGTAACTGGTTACTCACAAACCAGTATAACACAACAGCATGACTGCTCCTATACCAAGGCAACTTTACTGCTCCTGAACCAGAGCAGCAAAGTACAGTGGTGCTTCAACTTATGAACGTAATTGGTTCCGGAACTCGAGTCATAACTCGAAATGGTTGTAAGTCGAAGCACCATTTCCCATAGGAATGCAATTAACCTGTTCCGGCCGAGGAAGGAAATCACAAAAACAAACAAACAAAAAAAACACTGCAAGACCCATCGGAAACTGATTAGTCCATTCTGGCTGAAGTAGGGCGGGGAGAAAAGCAAACAAACCGTGCAAGACCCTTCAGAAATGCAAAAAAAGCAAAGCAAAAAGCAAACAAACCCCACAAGACCCATCGGAAACAAATTAATCCATTCCGGCTTGGGGGGGGAAGCAAACAAACCATGCAAGACCCTTTGGAAATGCAAAAAACAAAAAGCAAAGCAGAAAGCAAACAAACCATGCAACCCCCTTCGGAAATGCAAAAAAAAAAAAAAGCAAAGCAAAAAGCAAACAAACCCCACAAGACCCATCAGAAACAAATTAATCCATTCCGGTTTGGGGGGGGAAGAAAAACAAACCATGCAAGCCCCTTTGGAAATGCAAAAAACAAAAAGCAAAGCAGAAAGCAAACAAACCATGCAACACCCTTCGGAAATGCAAAAAAAAAAAAAAGCAAAGCAAAAAGCAAACAAACCATGCAAGACCATTGGAAATGGGGGAAAAAACAAAAAACAAACTCTGCAAGACCCATCGGGACCATAGGGGAAAAAACCCAAAAGCAAAGAGACTGCAATATCCATTGGAAATGAGGGGAAAACCCAAAAACCAAACAAACCCTGCAAGACCCATCAGAAATGGGGGAAACCCCCAAGAAACAAATAAATCCTACAACACCCATCACAGCATAGAAACATAATCCCACCACCCAGCCCAAAACCACACTGCAAAACCCACCCATAACAGTTTTTTAAAAGCAGAAAGCAGCACCTTACCTTACCTGGCAGTCCGAAGCCTCCTCAGATCACACACTCTCTAACTGCTAGGACGGAAGAACTACAAAGAAAAGCCTTGTCTCCACCTACAGTTAGCAATTTGAATTCACCACCTTTTTACCCTGCCTTTTTCTGTTCATAACTCAAAGCTCTGGTCACAAGTAGAAGCAAAATTTCGGGACATTTGTAAGTCAATGCACCACTGTAATGCTCCCACAGAGCTTTCTTTATACAGAGAAAAAGCCTCTGTAATCAGCAACACCTAAAGAGAAGCCTGGCTGAAATGCTTAATAGCCTAGGACAGGCCAAGCTCCCAGCACCCATTATGGTAACTTCCTTTTCTAACAGGAAAGTAGGTTGGAGCTTCGCCTATTGTAAGCCATGAAGCATTGAAAACAGGCATTTCTCCAGGTGAGCACAATTTAGGCATGCAGCTAAGAAGTAGACCTCCCGGAATGGACAATTACGGGATTTGGAGAAATAAAATGCTACATAAAGTATCTACAGTGAATAGAAGCATTATGTTCTTGCTCACTCAATGGCCAACATGTGTGAATAGTATACGTATGGATGTATGCAAGAAAAACATGATGACAGATGCTGAACCTTCTTGATGGCCACTAGCACAACACATCCTGATTGGCAGACATCTAAAAATAAAACAAAGCACTTTTCTCAAGAGACTTTCCCACCACTACCTAAGCCCTTCCACCACACTGCTCATTCACAGGAAAATAAAAGAAAGTTTGTAATTATGTTAGCGGAGTACACCGACCTAGAAAGGTAAGCTTATGGATGTGAATTACAAGTAATCACTAAGGATGATCATAATAAGATAAAAGGAAAAGATTATTGCTTTCAAAAATTTATTCAGCATAAAACTTACACTTGAGTACAGACTCTCCTAGAGCCGGCTTCTACAGGTATGCTGAAGGTCAGCATGGAAGCACACTCGGAGTTGGCCATCCCTTGCAGATTAAGGAGAACCAAAAAAAATCTAAGCTATTTCTTTGGAAAAGGTGAACTAGTCTAACAGAAATGTCCAAAGGACAACAATCTATGTGTGGTCACCCAGAAAACCAACATAGGTCAAGCATACAAGATGTTATTCAAACAACAATTTTTTTATCTTGTTGTTAAAGTGCCAAATACCATTATTTTACCACTTCTCATCATATTAGATCATTACAGCCACTTTCAGCTACTGTAGATAATAATTTAAACTTTACCCATTTAACACATTAATCAACAAATCAACAAATTAATTAGATTTTCATGACTTGTTGAGACCACCAAATTTAGATAACCATGATGATTTTATGCTAATGAATTGGCACCCCTAATAATGTTTCCAACCTAGATATGAGCTATTCATATACCTCTCTTGGGAGAAACCAATATGGATATCACCACCATACACGGCCAATTGATTAGACCCATCCCCCCCCAAACCAGACCTACCACTCATGGCATGGTGTGAGGGGCCATCGTCATTTGTGGTGAGCCAATTGAGGAAGTAGCCTGGCCAAGGCTTCTCCGCCTCCCAGCGCTGCTGATCAATCTGGCGAGGAGGTGGGATGACAAGTCTCCGTGCTCAGCTGCTGAGTAGTCAGCACCACAGAGAGGGGAGGAGGCCCTGGCTGAACTACGTCCATGATTGGCACAGTGTGAACAACAATGGCCGCGCTGCAAGCAGTAAATGGACAGCCCGGTTCTGGGGGAGGGTCCAATTGGCCCAGGCACCTGTGGTGGTAATATTCATATTTGTCTCTTCTGGGAGACGAATATGAGTTTCCCATCTGTAACTCAGGCCCTAGCCACAAGTAGACCACCTGTGCAATATGGAGAAAGTCATCTTGTTTGTTCAGAGCAGAAGCAGTAGCAGTATTGGGGTGGGACCTCAGAGCAGAAGGTCAAAAGCTCCTTCATCAGAATGAGCTGGCAGGTTCCTAAATGCCTCGCAGCTCAGTCTCAGAATTCTAAAATGAACAAAGCAATTGTCTGGTTCAGGCAACCTTCCCTTCACAAAGCACAGACTCCTTCTTTATTTCAACACATTTATTCAATGGAACAACAGAAGTTACTTTCTCCTCAGCTACATAACTCAAATCAGGATTCCCTCTCCCAGGTTCCATGTTTCTCCTTTAACACATACCAACTCGTTAACAGGATTAATTAGATAGTCAACTAGTAATAACATATCTGAAACTAATGGAGTGGATATTACTTCTGCAGGCTTAGAAGTGCTTATTGGTGAAAAACCCATCCTATGTCGGGCTTCCATACTTTCATTCATGTGTCTTTTCACACCCTGGGGGGGAAATCTGGTCATCCCAGGACTGATCCAAAGGAAGGTAGACATTTGTTATTCTCCCAGCTATTCACCTCTCTCTAGAATTTTTCCCTTTCTCTTTTTCTAGCTTCTCTTTTTGCCATTTCTCTACAATATAGGGGCTTTCTTACTTGCATTTCTCTCCACTCCTTCTCGGCTACCTCTTTAGGCATCTTCAAAGGGACCCATTCACCTGTCCATGGCTCTTCCTTAATTATTTTGACCCGGTTTGCTTTCCCCTTAGCCTCCTCAGCTATCCAACATTCCTTAGACAGCCTTTCTGTCTTCACTTCCCCTCTTACGTATATATATTCCTCTTTTCCTGCCTGAATTGCTCCTTCTAGTGGACTCTCACTTCTCACAGTAATACACATTGTTGTTTAAACACTGGGGTCCCAATACAGTCTAAAAGTTACCTAGCTGCACCATAGATCATCCATGGCTCACTGATAGCACACATGCTTCCCATGTAGAAGATCCCAGGTTCAATTCCAAGCATCTCTAGATAGGGTTAGGAAAGAACTCTATCTGATACCATAGTTACTGTTGATAACAGCTGCCTAGAGTGGTCGTAATTGCCAGATAGGCGGGGTATAAATGGAATGAATGAATGAATGAATGAATGAATGAATGAATAAATGAATAAATAAATAAATAAATAAATAAATAAATAAATAATGCTGAGCTAGGTAGAATGAGATTCTGACTCAGTGGAGAATAGCTTTCTCTATTTTTTATGTTCCTGAGTTCAGCATTTCCTAACTATACTGGCTGCAATTTGATGCTATGAATAGACCATTCTGATGTATCTCTCCACATTTTGAAGAGATGTGGCACTTTTCACATAGCCACCTAAAGAGCCCCCCCCATAAGATAGTGACTAAAATCAAGAGATTCAAATGACCAAATCGCACCACTGACAGAAAACATGCATATTATACAACATTTGTTCTGATCTGCAACAGGCACGCATGAAAGCACGTGAGACAAATAACTGGTGTAATGATCAAGGCCAGACTCTCTGTATAGGAAGGTTATGGGTTCCATGGGATAACAAATACTATTTTATATGACCTATCTTATATCTCTCATATAAGCTGCCTAGAGTGGTCCGGTGGGCCAGAAAACATGCATATTATACAACATTTGTTCTGATCTGCAACAGGCACGCATGAAAGCACGTGAGACAAATAACTGGTGTAATGATCAAGGCCAGACTCTCTGTATAGGAAGGTTATGGGTTCCATGGGATAACAAATACTATTTTATATGACCTATCTTATATCTCTCATATAAGCTGCCTAGAGTGGTCCGGTGGGCCAGATAGGCGCGGCATAAATTAAATAANTTCTACTGTAACTTTTCTGTACAGAGGTAAATTTCCTTACATAATCTTGCGGACCGTACCCTTACTAAAAGTTTCAGTTTACCTCACACACTTTGGCTTGTCAGATTGCTATTCTGAATGCAAGATTAGATTGTTCCCAAACATTCTTCAGAGACTGCTCACAGACCTTTATCTAGAAATCATCCCACACCCATTAAAAACAACAACAACCTTTTGTTCAGGTGGTGGACTGACAGATTCCAAGCTCAGATGATCCATTTTGTTTTGTCAGAGTCATAATTGGCAATTTTATCACCTCAGGCAAGCAGCATTAAATGTGCCCAGCACACATGCCTTCCATCTTCTGCCATCGGAGTATCCCATTTGCCTTTGGCAGGTGTCTCTGCACCCAGTACAAGGTGAACACAGGATTCAGGTAGAACTGGTGGGCAGGTCAACAAGCAGGCCTCCTCCTCCTCCTCTGCAGCTCAGTGCTACATCTCTATTAATGCAATGGAACTGTGCAATCTTCCACAATCCACCATGCCACTGCCATAATGGAAATGCCTTACAGCAATCCACCCTGAGCCGGAGGAGGAGCTTTGTCTTGGTGAAGCTAGCAGCTCTCGGGACGGGATCCCGGGAAAAGCTAGAACCACTTCGGTCTGGGACCCTCCCAGAAACGGGGGAGCCAAGGAAGAGTCAGGAGAGACCCTTCTGCAGCAGTTGGTGAGCCAAAGAAGTTAGAAGATTGGGCAGCAACTCGATTTTTCTTTCTTCTGGAAATTCACATCAGCACAGACGAAGACGGG